ACTCTTGTGACAAATGGTGTTTATGCCCATTATTCACCTCCAAATACATCTTTTTGTGTGTTTGTGTCTTTTTTGTCTTTTTTACTGACTGGTAACGGGATCGCAACCCTCGGTGTCACGCCCGTACCGGGGACCGGCAACGGGATCGCAACCCTCGGTGTTGCGCCCGCACCGTGCTCAGCCAGTGAGTGGGAACCGGTTTCCACATGGGATCCGAACCCTCGGCAGGAGCGCCGCTGCGCTCCCAAGCGGCGCACTCTCCAGTGCGCCACCGGGCCGGCCCCCAAATACATCTTTAACACAAGAAGTTTTATCCTAAATTCTAGAAAGAAGTTATTTCAGGTGTTACTAGAAAAGGACAGGAAGTCTTAATGCAAAAAAAAAAAAAAATGTCTTTTGAACAGCTCATGGCTCTTTGTGTAAATCTTTCTTGTGAGCATTTAATAATTCTTTGTGTATGTCATTGTTCTTGTCTTTGCATTTTTTTCTGCAGTTCCCCAACTCTGTGGTTAGACGTTGTGCAATGCACAGCACGAAGCCCTATTAGCCTGCAGTAAGCACATTCCTAACATCCCAGCTCAAGTTCCACTCGCTTTCTTTTCTTCCTCCTCTCCCTTATTTCCCAGTTCTTCAGTCTGCTTTTCTGCCTTTCTTTAGACAAATACAGAAAACCTTTTCTTTCTCTCTTCCAAAAAAAGTAAATTCTTTTGTGGCTCAGTGATCCCATGAGCAGCAATCAGTCCCTCATGCTTTGGGGAGACTCTGGTTGTGACTGAAGCCCTCACATCCCTGTAGCTGTCACTGCTTAGCAGGCATTCATCCTTATTCCACAAACAAGGAAACCAGGTACAGGGAGTGATGCAGGATCCAGAGCAGCAACCACACTCCTCAGTCCTGGTCAGGGGCCCTCCCCAGCCCGCATGGAGGGGTGGCCGGTCCTCCATCCATGTGGCTGCGCTGCTGCAGCAGGAACCGCCAGAATGACACATGGATGTCTGATTGAGCCTAAAGGAACCCACCTCACTTTGCAGCAGAGAAAGCGGCTGACTGGAAACTGGAGTCTGCTTGCTGAATACCTGCCGAACACTTTAATCATCGAAACAGGAACACTTTAATCATCGAAACATGCACAATGAACTGCACGCTGATGAGTTCCAAAGCCTTCTCCTAAGCTTGCTTCTGCTTGAGCTACCATCTCTCGTGAATTGAGCACGTCTCTAGAGCACGCAGTATCTCCAGTAAATGTGATGGCACAGCAAGGTGGGTATTTGATGCCCATTTTATAAGTGAGGACACTGAGGCCTGGAGTCAGGTGCTCTGGAATCTCTTCTGATTTGCTAAGTGACCTTAAGAAAGGGGCTTAATTGCAGTCTTTTTGATAGGCCGGTTCTACACAGTTCAACAAATATACTACTGGTTGCTTAAAGATGGGGATATGTTCTGAGAAATGCATCGGTAGGCGATTTCGTCGTTGTGCTAACATCATAGAGTGTTCTTACACAAACCTAGGTGGTGTAGCTACTGCACACCTAGGCTATAGGGTATAGCTAGCCCTTTTTTCCTGGGCTACACACCTGTGCAGCATGTTACTGTACTGAATACTGCAGGCAATTGTAACACAACAGTAAGTATTTGTGAATCTAAATACATCAAAATAGAAAAGGTACAGTAAAAATACAGTATCAAAGATAAAAAACGGTACACCTGTACAGGGCACTTACTATGCGTGGAGCTTGCAGGACTGGAAGTTGCTCTGGGTGGTGCAAAGGGCTAGACATGACTGTACACTCCTGTAGAATTTATAAACACTGCACACTTAGGCTGTACTCAATTTATAAAAATAAGTAATTGTGCTATGTTACAATGGCTATGACATTACTAGGCAATAGGAATTTTTCAGCTCCATTATAAAATTACAGAAGATTGTTGTCACACATTTGGTCCGTCATTGACTGAAATGTTATGCAGTGCATGACTGTTTTGAATGTTTACTGTGTTTTTAGGAAAAGGGAATACAAAGGCTGAATAAGACATGCCCCATCCTCAAAATGCACACTGTCTGGTATAGTACTTGTATCAGTTAGTTTTTGCTGCGTAACAAACTACTCTGGAACATAGTGGCTCAAAATAACGTTTATTTAGCTCATACTTCTGTAGGTCAACAATTGAAGCTGATAATTCTTCTGGTTTGGCCCAGGTATGGCTGATCTTGGCTAGGTTCATTCATCAGCTGCAACTGCTGGTGGGTCAGCTGGGGAAATGGGGGTGACTGTCCCATGCAGCTCATTGGGTTGGCCCAGCCTACTGCACATGGCAGCAGAGTTGGAGGAACAGTAAGCAGGCCAACCACAATATACAAATGCTTTTCAAGTCTGTTTGCATCACATTTGTTAATATCCCATGGGCCAAAGCCAATCTCAAGGTCAGCCCAGAATCAAGGGCTGATTAAAGACTCTTCCTCTCAATGGGAGGAGCTACAAAGTACCATTGCAAGGGCATGGGTACATGTTGGGGAAGATACGTAGTGTCTATGCAAGTCATCATAGTAGTCCCTAAACTTGTTTGGTGTTATGGAACGTTTAGTGAAGTTGATGAAGTCTATAGACTGTCTTTCTAGAAGAACATACACATAGGAACAATTTGCTTTTAGGATCAAGGATTCTCAGACTCCCTATGCCCATCAATGGACTCCTTGGGATTCTTCATCAAATGAAAAATAGACTTGCTACCTTTGAAAAACACTAGTGGGAATTGTATTGGTTCCTCATTTTAAATTCATCAGGGGGAAAAAACAAGTCGGAACAGAAGGTAGGGATAGTAATTTACATGCCAAATGAGCAGAGTTCACTGACGGAACCCTGTGTTTACCAGTTTCCTGGATGAAATTTATCAGTCAGTGATGATCCTGGATTAAGAGATTTGCCTTCACGCCTTCTAGAGAAAGCATGATAGGCTTTAAAATCCCTCTCAGCCCGTTTCCAGTTTTCTAAGAGCAAGATGCCTACTTGCATCAACGTTTAACAGAAAGCAAACTTTTTTTTTTTCCCTTTTTTTGTCTTTTTTCGTAACCGGTAACGGGATCGCAACCCTCGGTGTCACGCCCGCACCACGCTCAACCAGTGAGCGGACCGGTCTCTATACAGGATCCGAACCCTCGGCGGGAGCGCTGCTGCGCTCCCAAGCACCGCACTCTACCGAGTGTGCCACTGGGCCGGCCCAGAAAGCAAACATTTAAGCAAAGGCAAACATTTACCAAACAACTTTACAGCAAAATAATTTTGGAGAAGGGGGATAGGGATGGAGAACATAATTTAAAGTCCTTGTCACCAGTGGCAGACGATTTATTGCCGCCCCAGCCTCCACAACTGCTATTTCATTAATCCAGAGTCGTGGTAGCGGCAGGCTTTTTTCACATCAGTAACTCGACGCCGTTATTTTCTCCTGTGGGATGAGAATACATTGAAACTGAAAATGAACACACTGGGCAGAATTTATAACCGTGCCACGGGAATGCCAAGGGTGCTGGGAAGGCAGGCTGCCCGGGAAGCCTGTTCAGCATGCATGCTCAGGACGTGCTGCCTCTGGCCAGGCAAGAGTGCTGGGTGGGTGGGGAGGACACCAGACGGCCACCGTCCAGAGGCTACTCAGCTTCCCTGCAGGGAGGAAGGAGGAATCTCATAGGTGGGGGCCTGCCCGTGAGTTACATCTTGAAAGTTCTCTTCTGGCCCAATTGGGAATTGATGTTACACTCACTCGGAGAAGCCCACTGGGATTCTGCAAGGAAGGGTTTCTGGGCATTGTCTGGGGAGCATCGTGAAGTCCTCATGACAAACCATCAGTGGCAGAAGCTTCTGGAAGACACTGGGACCCCCCTTTTCCCTGAGGTCTGGAAGAGATTAAACAGGTTGAGGAGAAAGACCAGCAACACTGCCCCCAAACTGGGACAGTCCCTTAACTTTTGGAGGTTTGTAAGCATCCCAGTGCTATTAGCTCACAGTCAGCATATTCAGAACCAAAGCGTACTCGAAAGCCAGTTCTCTGCCCTTTATATTTAGCTCAGCAGCAGCCTCGTCCCTCCACTGTGCAGCACAGAAACTCAGTCACTGACTCTCACTTCTTTATTGAGGGACAAAATCCTGTCTGCTCCTCCTCTGAAGTGCATTTTCAAATTTCAGCCACTTTTATTTCTCATCTGCTCCAGCCCCTTCGCAGGCCCCCAGCTCCTCATCCTCAGCCAGTGCAGAGACCTCCTCACGGGTCTCGCCTGTCACCTGCCTCTCCCTTCTCTGCCAGCACAGCTGCCAGAGCAATCTCCAAAACATCTGTTTCACTGTTTCCTCTTGTAACTCCTGTGCTCAAAAGCTTGAGTGGTCCCTCATTGCCCCTCAAAGTCCACTTCCAGACTGGCATTCTTGGCCTCCAACTGCTGAATCTTGTCCTTGTGATGCCCACGTGAACCTGCCACTCCAGCTAGACATGGCTCTGCCACCTCCTCCTGCAACATGCCTCCGTCTGCCTAAATCTTATCCATTCTCAAGGATCTAGCCCAAGCTGCCCTTTTTTTTTTGGAATT